TTCCATAAACTCTACATGTAGCCACCCCTCAACCCCCCATGCTTGCTAAATATCAACCAATCATGTAACTGCTAAATGGAACATCCCCAAACCTTGCGGTAGCCACAATAAAAACCCTGCTGATTTGGAATTCAGGGCTCTCAATCCTGATCCGCTGCGTCGGTGACGGTTGAGTGCCCCGGCTCGAGCTTGAATAAACGACCCTCATGTGTTTACTTCGGAAACGGCTCCTTGGTGGTCTTCGGGGACTTTGTGATCTGGGCACAACAGTATCTTCTTTGGCCTTGTGGTGCCATCTCTAAGCAATGCTGAGTGTTTGTTTTGCATGCAGCATTGACAAAGATAAGAACTGCTTCTAACAAAAAAAAATATGTTAAGACAATAATCCTTTAACAACTCCGGGGTTTCTATAGGTCAAGAATTCAGGGGCTTCCTGGTTTAATGCTCATGGTCTCGCGTGAGGTTACCAGGTTTGCAGACATCTGAAGGCTTGATTGTGGCCAGAAGATCAACTCCAGACTCTCACATGTCTGGAAAGTTTATATTGGCAAGTTGGTGCCTTCCCACTGCGCCTCTCCATAGTCTGTTTCAGAGTCCTCACAACATGGTGGCTGACTTTTCCAAGAGGAAGAAGTACAAGAGATGAAGGAGGTCACCTTTTATGACCTAACCTCTGAAGAGACACACCATCATTTCTGCCATATTTTGTTGACCACACAGGCCAGCTCTGATTCAGCTTCAGAGAGGACTAAGTAAGGCATATACAATAGCAGCCATCTTGAAGGCTGGCTCTTACAATACCAATACCACATCTAAAACCCCTCTTCCCCCTTTTCCTTTTTCTCTCCTCCTCCTCCTCCTCCTTTTTATTTTCCACTACTTAAGATTGAACCCAAAGCCTTTGTATTCAGCTACATTTTTCATTTTAGTCAGGTTTGCACTAATTTGCTAAAGTGCCTACACTGGCCTCAAAATTATGATCCTCCTGCATCAGCTTCCCAGAGTGCTGGGATTATAGGTGTGTGCCATTGTACCTGCCTGACAATTATTTTTCAGTATTATCAATTATCTGATCATTGTTCAAATGTTCTGAATTGTTTCCTTTGATTAGTGTCTGGTTAGTCAATTTGTCATTATATTATCTCTCTTAAGTCACTTTAAATCTTTAAATTCTTCTTTCCTTTCTTCTTCTCTTTTTTTCCATGGAATTTATTTGTGAACCCCTACGGGTTTTCGATGAGTAAATGAAATAGTGTATGTATCTTAGCTACTTTTCTCATTGCTGAGACAAAATACCCAACCTCCAAAGTTAAAGGAGGAAAGGTTTATTTAGCTCACAGTTTGTAGAGGTTTCAGGTCCTAGTTGGCTGACTCTGAGGCAGGGTGGCCTGGCAGAGGGGCATCGCAGAGAAGAAACTCTTCATGGAAGAGCAGGGCGGCCAGAAGGCAGCAAAGCAGCGAAGCAGTGAAGCAGCTTCTTTCTGCCCCTTTATACTCCATCTAGGCTACCCACCTTTTTGGTGGTGCCACCCACACCCACAGTGGGGCACCCTTAATCCCAACATCATGCCCTAATCCAGCCACCTTTGAAAATCCCCACCTATGACCACATGAGGATTTGGGGGGACATCTAGATTCAAGCCATAGCAGCATGTACAGGATGCAAACTTGCTGCTGGTCCATGTGGTGAATTTATGTGAGCTGAGGAAGCCTTACCTTTCTCAAGAGAGGATCAGACTATGTGAGATGGCACACACCTGTAATCTCGGCACTTGGGAGGCTGAGACAGGAGGATCACCATAAATTCAAGGCCAGCCTGGATGATGACATAGCAAGACCCTGTTGAGAGAGAGAGGGAGAGAGAGAGGAGAGAGGATAATATTGTACACTCTAGAAAACCATCCATATCTGGCCCTTGATAGAAGTGCTAGCTCTGGGTTGTGATAAGTGGCACCCAGTTTAAATTTTAAAAATTAAAGTGATTCAATAATTCAAACTTAGGGCTGGGGATTTAGCTCAGTGGCACTGCGCCTGTCTCACAAGCACAAGGTCCTGAGTTAGAGCCCCAGTACTGCAAAAAAAAAAAAATCAAAATTTTAATAATAATGGTGAGAGCATGAGTCCTATTAGGAATCAGAAGCTGCTGCCACCACTGCTGCCACATGGATAGATGTCCTTAACTTGTCCAAACTCTACCCAGGAAAGCTTTCAAGAAGTCTGGACTCTGCAGCCCTGGCTGGTGACACCCAAGCTCCTTCACTTGGACTGGCTCATGTGCTCCAGATTCCAGGCACATATGCCACTGAAAGCTAGCAGGCACCACCACCCCACCACACTCCCAAGGTGAGTCAGCAGCATCCACTTGGGAGTGAGGTTGCTTAGTATATTTGTTGGAATTCCTCCTACCTAAATAAGAATTGGACTGCCAGGAGTAGTGGAGACATGAGAAAACTGACCTCCAGTAATACTAAGGCCTCTTAGGTAAGAGTGCACTGTTGCACAATGAATGTATGTCAGTGATGATGATGATGATGATGGTGACGTGTGTGTGTTTTGCTGAGTGTCTACAAAGCCTTGTGTGCCAGAAAGGGTTTCTCTGGAAGGGGGCAGTCTACACTGTTGAGATGATCTGCTGGAATCCCCATAAATCAGTAGCCCCATAAATAAATTTATGTTCATGAAGGACATCCTTCTGATGAGGTACCATTGTGCAATGTGCAACCTGGATAGCTGTACACTATGGAACTGCTTGGTATTATTATCATTTGTTCCCTATTTGCACTGTTCTCTCCAAACAGAATAAAGCTATCTTCAGCTCAAACATATCTGTTTCTATCACACAGATCCAGGATTCCTGTGGTCCCTGGATTTAAAAAAAAATCATTACAGGTGAAGGCTTACTTCCTTCCAGTCATGAGGCTCTTCATTCTGCTCTCTCTGGTTCTCTTCTCAGGTAAGATGTAGAGAAAGATCTTCTCTGCCCTTCAAGCCATGGCCTTCCCAGACACCTGACATTTTCTTTTCCTCTCCTACCTGGAACACCTGCTTATTAGCTCCAACCTTCTAAGCAGTTGGATGGGAAAATAGAAGGAGGTCCCCATGAAATCTTATTCTCACCTTTATAAGAGGCTTGTGAGAAACTTGAAACCCTTGGGTAAAATGAGGGCTCTGTATTTTCTCTTTAAGTTTACCCAAATTTCCCTTCCTCTTTCCTTTCTTTCCTTGAGTATGTTTGTGCAGATATGTGAATACACTACTTTCCCCTTTTTGCCCATGCCCAACACCAAAGATGAGATTGAAAGACCAGCCTTGCCCAAGCTCTGTCACCCATCGGCTCTGTCACCCTTGGTTACTGCTCCTCTCTCCCAGTCACATCTGTGCCTGTACCCTGAGGATAACAATTCTTTCTTGTGGAGTTGTGAGATGGACAATTACATGTAGGATGTGAGCCTCCTTTATGGGATGGCTCCTTCATTGGAGGCAGCATTTAGGGGGTTACCTGGGCGAGGATGTTGGGCAACAGCAGTGATGGGTTCAGTCTCCAGATTGAGAAGGGGTCTGCTGTCTTATCTCTTCTTCTTGGCCATTTCCCCAGCATAGTCAAGCAGGACATAGTGTGCAAGACTTCCTCACTATGCAGTATCCAGACATGACAGAGGCATGTACGTATGCTGGGCTCTTGTGGAAGAAATACCAAGTTCTTAGCTCCTGAAGACAGAACTGGAATCTTTTTGCCTTCAGCCCTATGCAGCCAGCAGAAACATCCAAACCTTTCTCTTTCTTTTTCACTTTCTTTTTGAGCTGTGGACTGGGAGAAGGGAAAAGCGTTTCTAAAGCAGTAAGCCTCAGGCTTTTCAAGCCTCCATGTCAAGCACTGATGAGAGTCTCCTATATTTCACACACCCTCAAGCCAGGGAGAAAGACTTCCCCAGAGGTGCTGTGGTTTTCTAATGCTGCTACAACAAAATATCAGTCTGAGTAGCTTAAATAATGGAAATTTACTTCTTCCGTAGTTGTAGAGGTTAAAAGACCAACATCAAAGTGTTTGCAAGTTTGGCTCATTCTGAGATCTTTTTTTGGCTTGCAGATGGCTGCCTTCTTGCTGTGTCCTCACACAATCATCCTTCTGTCCATGTTGCCTATATTTTAATCTTTTTTTTAAAAAAAATAAGGTCACCAGTCATATTGGATTAAGGACCACTCCAGTGGTCTAATTTTATTACCTCTTTAAGAGATTTGTGTCCAAATATAGTTACATTCTGAGGTATTTGGGGTTAAGAATTTAACATGAATTTTTTGGAGGACACAGTTCAGCTCATAACAGCTGCTAACTCCAAAACAGCAAAAAACAACCTCCAATTCTGTCAGGAGGACAGGAACTATAGTTTGTTTGAAAGAATAATTGTGTGTGTATGTTTTCACAGATGCCCTGGTCATGGACAAAAAGGTCAAGGAAAGCTTTGTGCTGGATACAGCTTCTGCCACCTGCAGCTATGATGCCCATTATAAGAATCATACCAAGTATTGGTGCCGGGGTTATTTCCGGAACTACTGCAACATCACTGCCTTCACTCCCAACGGCACTGACCGTGTAGTCTTGAGGGACACAGGACACCGACTCCTTGTCATTGTTTCCTGCCTGACCAAGGAAGATTCAGGCTGGTACTGGTGTGGCATTCAGTGGAACTTTGCCAGAGATGACATGGATTTTACAGAGTTGATTGTTACTGACCACAGAGAAGCCCTGGCCAATGGTTTTTGGCCTGAGAAAGGTAAAGAGATTGTCAGGGATCCATTTGGGTAACCCATGGTAGTGGGTGCTTGTCAGGGTCATAAAAATTCACTGAAGCCAAATGAGCACTATATTAGTAACTTTTCCATAATACAGACAAAAATATCTGACACTCACACTTAAGGAAGGATAGCTTTATTTTGGCTCATGGTTTCAGAGGACACAGTCCACAGTTGGCTAGCTCCATGGCAGAAATAACATGGTGGAAAAGCATGATGGAGTAAATCTGCTCAGTTCATAGTGGTTAGGAAACAGCAGAAGAACAGCTTCAGAGAGGAAGGGGCAAAGGACCAGATATAGTACCTGAAAGCATGCCTCCATGATTCAGCCAGACATATTCAGAATGCACTTTACTAATCCCTTTGAGATTTACTAATCCCAAACCAATCAAATTGACACAATTAACCTTAACCACACATTCTACCCATTTTGTCAACTTGATGCCCAAACCTATCTCATTAAACCATACTCAAACCTCAAATAAATGTAACAAGTTAAAAGTCTGCCTAAAATGTTACAGCTGTCCTGTGTACAACTGAGAACACAATAATCCCTTCTCTAAAGTCTCAACAGTTCTAGCATTTTTCAAACCTTCAGGTCAAAGTCTCTTCTGGGACTCAAGGGAAATTCTTAGCTGTGAATCTCTGTGAAAACCAAAAACAAGTTACATAATCCCAAGGTACAGTGGCACATATGTTTATAATGGGAATGTTTATGAACATTTCCATTTCAAATGGTAAGAATAGGGTTATAGAAGAGAACTGGGTCAAAGCAAGACCAAAACCTAGCAGGCCAAACACTAGTTCTTTAGCTCCATAGCAGGTATCTGGGGCATATAATGACAAAATGTGAGTTCCAGAGGACTGGAAGGGACCCCACTCCTATGGCCTTGCTAGTTGCATCTCACCTTTCTTGGGCTGGTTCCACTCTCTGCTCGTGGCTTTCCTCAGCAGATGTTCCACATTCTTGGTGTCTCTGACTTCCCTGGATCTCTATTGCACCTTTGGCTTCATTTAACAGCTTCATACACTCCCTTGTCATGGGTACTTACCTGGCCTCCAAGGCCTTCCTTTGAAATCTGGGTGGAAGCCTTTTTCACCACACAACTCTTATTCTGTATGATGGTTAAACAAGCATCATATGGATGATTCCAAAGTCTACTGTCAATGGGAGCATTAGCCAGGTGCTCTTTGAGCATGGCTGCAGTACCCTTTGAATGCCTGTGCAGCTGAGCATGGTGAAATGAATCCCTGAGAAACAATTCCTTACAAGGGCATTCTTAGCAGAGGGTCCAGGGACTCTTTTCTCAATGAAAGGTGTAATGTTTGCACCCTTAAGCCCGTGATGATTGGGGTATTTCTGATTTCTGAAATGCCCTCAAGGTATTTTTATTTGTGCTCCTATACGAAGTCCTTGTTTTCTTTTTAATGGCACTAATCTCTTCAGCAACCACACTTCCTTTGGCCCCAACTTTACACATTTCATTTTGGACCAACATTTAAATTTTTCAAATTTTTCTCTTCTAGTCCTTGTCCCCAGTTCTCAAAATAAATTGGGCTAAAAGTAGCCAGCAGTACCCATGCCACAGCTTGAACGTTGAGCTGTATTGAAATTTCCTCTGCCAGAACAATTAATTCACTGCTCTTAATCTCAGCTAAATAAAATCAGGCTAAAAGTACAGCAGTACCCATGCCACAGTTTGAATGTTGAGCTAAATTGAAATTTCCTCTGCCAGACTAATTAATTCATGCCCCCTAATCTCAGCCTCTCAGAGTCTCAGGACATGGGCAAAATGTCAACTTTTTTTGCTGGAGGATAATGCAGGTGGCTGCTATTTTAATTGCCAGTGAAGTCCTTGTTTCTAACTAAAAACTTCCAGAGTCTGCCTTTACTGTCCACATTCCTATCAGCATTCTGATCTTCTGAGTTCTGACCAGAATCACCAGTCAGGCTATTTTTATAGCATTCTGGGGCTTCTCTAGCTGAATCTTCAAACCTTTTCAAACTCTTCCTACAAACCAGTTTCAAAGGTTTCTGAACCACATTATCAAGCATAGCCACAGAAACAGCCCCATTTCTGCTACCAGTTTTCTGTATTAGTCACTTTCCTGTTGCTGGAACAAAATACCTAACACTTACATTTAGAGGAAGATAGGCTTATGTTGGCTCATTTCAGAGGATCTAGTCCACAGGTGGTTGTCTCCAAGGCAGAAATGGCATGGGTGGAAGGGCATGGTAGAGAAAAACTGCTCAATTCATGATGGCCTGGAAACAGAGCAGGGAAATAGTGGTGGAGAAGAAGGGACAAGGGACCAGATATAGTATCCAAGATCCTGCCTCAATGATCCAGCCAGACACACTCAGAAAAGTGCTTTACAAATCCCCTATGTTATTCCCAAGCTAATCAAGTTGACACAATGAAGCTTAAACAGCACAAGCACCAACTCAGCCTTCCTCCAGGTTCTTTGGGGCTACTGGTCTCATACTCCCTCCAAGGTGGAGTGGATATTGATGATGCTGACTGGGGATTACCTGGGACTTTGCAGGTAAAGAGGGGTGTTTGGGCTTTGGGGCACTCTTGGGACTTTCCTTTCCTCACCACCATTTGTTCATTGGCATTGGAAGATGCCAGTGATATTTGACTTTGGAAAAGGCTTTATATTATGAAATCTCAAACCTGCAGGTCTAGAATCTTTTTTTTTAATGATTCTCCATTTTTAAATTTAATTTAATTTTTTGGTACCAGGAATCGAACTCAGGACCCTGTGCTTGCAAGGCAGGCAGCGAAACCACTGAGCTAAATCCTCCAGGTCCAGAATCTTGAAGATTAGGTTCTTGAAATTGACCAAGGCTACAAAAAATGACTCAAGATACTTATCAACATAAATAATTTAATAATTTACATGGACAAATATTGTGGTCAAATTGGCCAGCATCAACTTTTACTTGTAGGAATGCACTCAACACCAGAAGACCACAGTGGGTTTTGGGGCACTGGAACCCATAGAATGAAGGCAACATGTGTCAATTACAACTTCCTACCAGAGATAAGACATGCATCTCCAGATGTTCATAAGTTCCTTCTGCTGAATGTTGGAAACCTCCTTTTATGCCAGAAAGCCTGTCTTTCAGGCCAAGAGTTTATGGAAGGCACCACCTTTCTCTGTTCTTCTCTTGCAGCTTTTCATTGTTTCCATTTCTAGAAAGGATATGTTTTACTGTCACAATCTGGAGCACAATGCCAATAGGAAAGCAAACCACAAGGACTCAAGGGGGAGCTATGGGAAGCCTCTGTCCCACTTACCCCACTCCCTGTGCTAGGGGGAGAGTCTTATTCACATCTGACCAGCTGGTAATTGATTCAGTGTGTAACATCATGCATACTGTGATGTTTCCACTTTGTATGTTTCTGTTTTTTATAGTCTGCCTGAATTTTTGGCTCAGGATAAGAGCAATCCCACCTAAACTCCTTGACTGAAACTTGTGCTCCTTGGTTTAAATGAAACACACATCTTTCCCAAGTCTTATCAAAGGAGACAATACAGGAAGCCATTGGGTGTAAATGGTTGTCAGAAGCACAGTGTAGCAGTCTTGTCATCTATGATACATTCATAGATACATTCATAGGACTAACCATCTGGTGTATGAGTCATTCCTTCCTATGGGAATGGCCCACAGCCTGAGACTCTTCACTATGGCCTACTTCTAGTCTGTATGGGTCTTTGTGCAAATTTGGAAAAGAGGGCCCTTCCTACAGGTGAATGGAACCCAGTGGCCTCAGGCTCCCAGGGTGCATGGCTTGGCAAGGCAGTAGGAAGGCAAAGGAGGGAGCAGATGTGGGCCTTACTCTCAACAAATCCTTTCTGATGCAGATTCATCAGTCAACAAGAACGTAAGCTACAGGGCTTCCAAAGTCTTCCAAATGGTGGATTGTGCCAGGTCAGTATAATCATAGAAGACAGATCAGTCTGGGAGGGGAGGGTTAGAAGAATGGTGAGTGGGGCCTCAACAATACAACACTATGATTAATTTCATCTGTTGTCAGCTGCCTGTTATTTTTTCACCGGAACTACATATCTTTATTGTGACTATCTGGTATCTTTCAAAAGAATACAGTTTAGGACTTTGTTTCCAAGTAGCAGAAATAGCCTTTAGCTACTTTAATTAAAAGGGAGCATTTATTATAAGGAGAGAGAAATGCTCAAATACACAGGTAGGGATCTTGCCATCTCAGAAATCACCAGGAGCATTATTAGGACTTTATATCCTTTTCTTTTTTTAAAAAAAAAATCTTTTCTAATCTTCTACTTTCTCTATTATATGTGTTTGTTTCCTTCTGTCTGCCCTTCCCTTTTATAGTTTTCTTTTTATTTTTTCTTCTATTCCTCTCTCTCTCTCTCTCTCTCTCTCTTCTCACTCTCCCCAAAGAACATTCATATTTCCTGAGTTTATTTGTTCTCTATTCAAAGGACTGGCCAGTCAGACTGTACTTTCCTATTCCCATCCTCTGAGGAAAAGGCTCATTGATGGGAGGTTCATTGACACTCAGGACAGGGTCACTGTAAAAGAATACAGTGGTTAGGAGCTAATGCAACCTGCTTTTGAGTAGTGGTGTGCAGATCTCAGAGCAGGAGATCTGGAGTAGAGGACCAAAAGGCAGTCAAGTCAGTTCCTTTCAAGGAATATGACATCAATTATCCCTCCTTCCAGGATGTCCATTCTGATCATTTGCATACTGATGACTGGTTTGGGGATCATCTTTACAAACATTCATTTGTCCAGAAGAAGGCGAAGTCAAGGAATAGAAGGGGTAAGTGGCTGTTTGTGGGGAGGGGTAGTCAGGAATTAGAGAATATGAAAGAGGTCAAGGAACAGCTTTAAAATAAGCAAATCTGACTCTCCTCTTATTGTCTGGTAATGTGGAGAAGGCAGCCAGCCCATGGCTAGAAATCATACCCACTTCATGGTGACAAAGGCATCATGAGGGGACAGAGAGCACTGTCCCCTTCTGAAGTAGAGGTATGTGCAGACAGGGAGGAGGGGAGACCAGAGCCAACAACACGACAGGTTCCATGCAAACTTTGGGAGGCAGTCTTAGTCCTTGATGGAAACTTTTATTTACTATGAGGGACTGGGGCCAAAGAGTTTCTGTGATGCCTGGGTAAGCAGGCATATTGAGCTCTCCTTGAGGTGGGCAGAGTGGGAGAAGACAGAGCCAAGGGTCTCTGCCCTAATCTTGAGGCAGGAAAGAGGCCCTTCAGCTTTGTGCCTCCTTTTCCCCTTGAACGGATATAGGTAAAGGCCTAGTGAGAAGACTCCAAACCATTCACATTTTTCCTGTGATCCCCATAGCCTTGGTACATTTCCTCCTTGATTCTTCCATCCTGAGCCCTGTACCCCACAGCAACTTGATCTTCAGCTCTCCCCCTTCCTAAAAAGGCTTGTATACCTTTCCTTTTGAGGCAGCATCAGAGACGTGAGGGCCAGTCTTACCATCTGGAAAATCCTCCATGCCACCATGTGGCAGCTCTGCTGAGCTCTGAAGTGTACACACAGCAGTAACAAGATCAGACACAAGGGCCACTGTTTGGTCACTAGTTGTTTTTTTTCTTTTCTTTTTGTGCTCAGAGACCACAGAATCATGTTAGGCAATGAAGAGACTGCAGGCATAATTACAAAATAGATTCCAATCTCTTCTGGGTATAGAAATGTAGATAAACAAAATTTTGGAGGCGGGGAGAACACCTTAGAAATACCTATTAGTGAAACACAAAGGTTCACAGCTTGAAGCTAAAATGCAAAACTGAGGCTGTTTAATAGGATGAGATCCCAGTTGTTGATTCTTTGTGCTAGTTCCTGTGCTACTGAGGTTTTGTTCATTAAGTCTTTTCCTTTGCCAATGTCTTCAAGAGTTCTACGTCACTTATCTTCCAGAAAGTTTAGTGTTTCTGTTTTAGTATTTAAATCTTTAATCCACTTTGATCTTAGTTTAGTGCATGGTGATAGGTATGGGCCTAGTTTTAATCTTTGGCAGGTTAAAATCCAGTTTTTCCAACACCATTTACTAAATAGGCTATCTTTCCTTCAGTGAAGGTGGTTGGCTCCTTTGTCAAAGATGAGGTGGCTGAGTATGTCTGGAATTGTTTTTGTATCTTCTAATCTATTTCACTGACCCTCAGGTCTGTTTCTTTGCCAGTACCATGCTGTTTTTATCACAATGGCTTTGTAGTATAGTTTCAAGTTGCGGATTGTGATACCCCCTGCCATGTCTCTGTTGCCTAGAATTGCTTTTGCTATTCTAGGTCTCTTCTGGTTCCAAATGAAATTTTGGATTGTTTTCTCTAGTTCTGTGGAATATATTGTTGGAATTTCAATTGGCATTGCATTAAATCTATATAGCAGCTTTGGAAGTATGGCCATTTTCACTATATTGGTTTTTCCTACCCAGGAGCAAGGGATGTCTTTCCATGTTCTTATATCCTCTTCAATCTCTGTTTTTCAGAGTGCTGTAGTTTTCAGCATAGAGGTCTTTTGCTTCCTTTGTTAGATTAATTCCCAGATATTTCATTTTTTTGGATGCTATTGTGAAAGGAATTGTTTCCCTCATTTCTCTCTCAGTGAGTCTGTTATTTGTGTACAAGAAAGCTATTGTTTTTTGAGTGTTGACCTTGTTTCCAGCTACTCTACCGAATCTGTCAATTAAGTCTAGAAGTCTTTTGGTGGAGTTTTTTGGGTCTTCTATGTAAAGTATCATATCATGAGCAAATAATGACTGTTTAACTTCTTCCTTTCCTATCTTTATTCCTTTTATTTCTTTCTCTTTTCTAATTGCTGTGGCTAATATTTCCAGAACTATATTGAACAGGAGTGGAGATAGTGGACATTCTTGTCTTGTTTTCTGATTTTAGCATGAAAGATTTCAGTTTTTGACCATTTAGTATGATGTTGGCTGTTGGTTTTTCATAGATAGCCTTAATCAGGTTGAGATAGAGACTTTCTATTCCAGTTTTCTGTAGGGTTTTATCATGAATGGGTGCTGGATTTTTTAAAATGCTTTTTCTGCATTGATTGAGCTGATCATATGGTTTTTGTCCTTGGCTCTGCTAATATAGTGTATTACATTTATTGATTTACATATGTTGAACCATTCTTGCATCCTTAGGATAAATCCGACTTGGTCAGTGTGTGTGATCTTCTTGATGACCCTCTGTATTCTGTTTGCCAGTGTCTTGTTGAGGATTTTTGCATCTATGTTCATTAAGCAGATTGGCCTGTAGTTCTCTTTTTGAATTGAGTCTTTCCCTGGTTTTGGAATCAAAGTAACACTTGCTTCCAGGAAGAATTTGGAAGCCTTCTTTCCCTTTCAATTTCCTTGATGAGTTTAAAGAGTAATGTTGATAGTTCTTCTCTAAATGTCTTGTAGAATTCTTCAATGAAGCCATTAGGACCTGGGCTTTTCTTTGTTGGTAAATTTTTAATTACGTTTTCAATTTCACTCATTGTAATTGGTGTGTTTAGAATTTTTGTATCTTCTTCATTTAACTTTGGCAATTCATATGCATCTAGGAATCTGTCCATTTCTTCTGTGTTTTCCATTTTATTAGAGTACAGGTTCTTGAAGTAGGTACTGATGATCCTCGGATTTCTGCTGGATCTGTTGTCACTTCACCTTTTTCATTCTTAATTGCATGGATTTGAGACTTTTCCTTCCTTTTTTTGATAAGGTTGGCTAAAGGTTTATCAATTTTATTTATTCTTTTGAAAAATCAACACTTTGCTTAATTTATTTTTTGTATCATTCTCTTAGTCTCCATGGCATTGATTTCCACTCTGATCTTTATAATTTCCTCTCTTGTAAGAACTTTGGGTCTGTCATGCTCTTCTTTTTCTAGGAGCTTGAGGTTCAGCATTAGGTTATTTGAGCTCTCTCTGTTTTCCTAATATGGGCATTCACTGCTATGAATTTCCCTGCTCTAACTGCTTTCATTCTGTCCCATAGATTCCTATATGTTGTACTGGCATTATCATTTACTTGTAGAAACTAATTTCTTCTTTAATTTCCTCTGTGACCCATTGGTTGTTCAGGAGGGTGTTATTCAATTTCCATGTGTTTTTGGGGGTTTTGCAGGTTCTTATGTTATTGATCTCCAGTTTTATTGCACTATGGTCTGATAATATCCAGGGGGTAACTTCAATTCTTTTACTTTTACTTAAACATGTCCTATGAGCTAGTATGTGGTCTATTTTGGAGAATGACCTGTGTGTGGCCAAAAGGATTTGTATTCTGATTTTGTGGGGTGGAACACTCTGTAAACATCTATTAAGTCCATTTGTTCAAAAGCTTGGTTCGGTTCTAGAATTTTCTTGTTGATTTTTTGTCTAGATGATCTATTTGTGATAGTGGGGTACTGAGGTCCCCCACTGCAATTGTATTAGTGCTTATTTGGTTTTTCATGTCCATCAATATTTGTTTTGTATAGCTGAGGGCATTCGTATTTGGTGCATATATATTTATGGTTGTCATCTCTTCCTCTGGGATTGTTCCCTTGACAAGGATGTAGGGACCATCTTTGTCTCCCTTAATTCATTTTGGTTTGAAATCTACTTTGGCTGCAAATAAAATTGCTACCCCTGCTTTTTTCTGGGTTCCTGTGGCATGGAGAACTGTTTTTCATCCTTTTACTTTCAGAGTATGAATTTCTTTTTGAGTTAGGTGTGTTTCTTGTATACAGCATATTGTTGGATTTTGTTTCTTAATCCATTCTGCCAGTCTGTTTCTTTTGATTGGCGAATTGAGGCCATTAACATTGATGGTTATAATTGATAGATATTGACTCATCCTTGTCATGATGTTCTACTGTTGTTGGCTCCTTTATTTTTTATTTTCCCCCCTTTCCCTTTAGTTTTTTGCCTTGCCTGGTGGCTTTAGTCTGTTGGGCCTCAAGGAGTTGTGATCTTCATTGTCTTTTTCTTTTTTTGGTACCGGGGATCAAACTCGGGTCCTTGCACTTGCGCAGCAGGTGGGGAAACCACTGAGCTAAATCCCTGGCCTTCATCGTCTTTTTCTAGGATATTGTTTAGAATTGTTTGGAGTGCTGGTTTGGTTTTCATGAAATTTCTCAGGTGTTCTTTCTTGTGGAAGTATTTAATTTCCCCGTTGATTTTGAAAGATAATTTTTCAGGATACAACAATCTAGGTTAGAAATTATTTTCTTTTAATGGTTGAAATACTTTACTCCAGGCTCTCCTTGACTTTAAGGTTTGTGTTAAGAAGTCGCTTTCCTTTGTAGGTGATTTGTTTCTTCTTTCTAACTGCCTGTAGGATTTTGTTCTTCTGTTGGGTTTCTGGGATCTTGACTATTATATGTCTAGGTGTAGATTTTTTTTTATCGTGGTTAGTTGGAGTTCTATATGCCTCACTTATCTGTATGTCCAATTCTCCACCTCAGTCTGAGAAGTTTTCTATTATTACTTCAGTAAATAGTTTTGTAAATGTCGTTTTTACTTTCTCCTACTTATCTGTGGACTCCTATCAGTCTTATGCTATTCTTCTTTGCATCATCTAGCAGCTGCTGGATTGCTTTCTCGTGGTCCTTCACTATTTTGAAGAAATCTGTTTTCATCCTCACTAACCACAATCCTGCCTTCTATATCCGATATTCTATCTTCACATTCTCTCAATCTGCTGTGAATACTTTCAATGGAGTTTTTAATCTCCTGGATATCTGTTCGAATCTGTTTCATGGATTCCATTTCTTTCCTATGTTGGGGGATTATGGTTTCCATTTCTTTCTTATGCTGGGCATTTAT